GCATGCCATTATAGACAGTTTACCACAAACGTGATGCCGATTGTCTTGGCTTCAAGACATTGATATTATATAATAATAGGATTTATTTGTACTGACGCCCTTTTAGGGCCAAACGTACATCCAACAAGACTATTTAAATTAACAGTAAAAATAGCAATAACGTAAAGAAAATAGGATTACATTATTCAAATGACTTATAAAAATAATATTACTTTGATATAAGAATCCTGTCTCTACCAATCATTAGATTTATCATTAAAATTTATCATGTCAGCAGAATCTTTTAATGTGCTCCCCTCACTCGTCAATAGAAAAAATGTCTTTTGAAGGTCATTCATTTTTTTAAAGTTACTACACAGGTTTTCAAGTTTTTTAATATGAGATTTTCTGATATACTCAAATTGATTATTTGAATAGAAAGTGTGTTTCATCTTCCATAACCGAGTCCTTACATATTTTACAAAATCGACTATTTAGATCAGTAATGGGTCTTGTATATCGGCCTCTATCCTATCTCAAGATTGTGGGCGCTTATACATAATCTAGTGAGATGTTTAAGCATTTGAAAATGCCGTTTCTGAAAGGTATTACAAAGCAGGCATAGAAATTACATTTATGTTTGTCAATAAGAGACCGAACTATAAATACACGCCCGGTGATCGTACAAAATGGATGGAGGGGGGATTAGGCGATTTCTGCAAGAAAACTCAACAAAGGAAGATTTATTTTTTCAAGAGAAAATTTACAACTGAATTGCCAAATGAATAGGCGCAGTGCATGGCAAAATATGTTAGGTCATCTAGGATTTTTTTGAACTGATACCCTTCTAAGATATGAGATCTATTAAAAAGGCGCATCATCACAAACGTGCAAAAGTCAATTTTACAACGAGTTTGTTCGTTGTTCGGTGATTTCACAATCGTCTAACGCGCCTATTCAAAGCGGAGCACGAATCGTTATATTTCTTTGTTATTCCTTTTATTAATTAAGTCGTGATTTTTTTCTTTTCTTTAGAGATAATGTTGCTATTTACCCTGTGGACAGTGCCCAATTAGCGCATCCAATGACTTTATTAATTTAGCTGCGATCGGCGCTGTTTGAAGAGTTTCTCGAAAGGCAGATTGGGTTACGGTATCCCATTTGAATAAATTCGCCTTCGAGCTTAGACTACTTTTTGGTGCAGATAGATAGGATTCTTATAACAATTTTCTACTTGATATGAGATACTCAAAGTCAGGATTTATTTCATGAACTCTTTGAAAAGGTTATGATGAAATGGTTCGTGTAAGGGACAGTCGATGACAAAATCTTGCTCATCTTCAATATAAGCATTTGAACACATACCCGTTCTATAAGCAAGGGATGTGGCATTGTATCTAACGGTTTCTTATGGAACTATCCCTAATCGCATCTTGGTTATATTATACTTTTTGATATTCGCTTAATGTCAAAGTCATATTATGGTTCTATAGCCTGCTGGCGCTCGTGGATCCTGTAAGTCTGTGATTTGTTGTCATAACCATCTGAGTCACAATCCTCCACGCACTGGTTCGTCCGTAATTTATCCATCTGAGTCGCAATCCTTCACGCACTGGTTCGTCCGTAATTTATCCATCTGAGTCGCAATCCTTCACGCACTGGTTCGTCTATACTTTATCCATCTGAGTCGCAATCCTTCACGCACTGGTTCGTCTATACTTTATCCATCTGAGTCGCAATCCTTCACGCACTGGTTCGTCTATACTTTATCCATCTGAGTCGCAATCCTTTAACATGTCTCGGTTGATTCTTCTAGGTATAGTCAATAATACTCAGCTCATATCGCCCTAGTCCTCAGAAAACCCGACTCGCCATGTGCTGCAAAACAGTAGACATACGAGTATAATAGTTAAAAAGATACAATTTTACCGATTGATTATGCTATATATGGGCAAAGGAATAAATACTAATAACGTCATTTCTGCGGGCAATATAGTGAAATATTGGACATTGGGCCTTATGGTACTATTCTATTCTTCATGCTACACCTAAGAATGACTAATTTTGACCATGGGGGTATTTGTCAGTTAACGCACCTCTTCCTTTGCCCATATATAAAATCCCCGGGAATATTTCTGATACGGGATCTAATACGGGATTTTGCCTGATACGGGATCTGATATAGGATCTTTTGAATATCACTTCTATTCCCTATTTATTTCCCAGGGAAAACATGTTATTATCATGATAATTGTTTTCCCTGGGAAATAAATAGGGAATAGAAGTGATATTCAAAAGATCCTATATTATTATGGAATGATGCTTATTATTTCTAAAAACGTTCAATTATTACGTCATAAATAATATAACTGTGTACTTCAATTTTGAATGTAATCTTGATAAAGCTAAACAAAATTTTGTTTTGTTTGTGGGGGTACAAATCCGGATTACAGCGCATGCAGAACTTCGATTGCGTTGATATTTTTCAAACTACATAAAATTATGTTTGACATCAGCCCTTAAAGGGCGATATTAGATGTGCAATGAAATACTTTTTCTATGCATATACCATTTGTCTAATATTTTGTATCCCCCAACACACTGGTTAAATTAACATTGCCGATATATCATTTGTTTAAGATTTCGCCAGAAAGTGCCCTAAAGGGTTACCTCTTAAATGACAGACAACCAAAACACCAGACAAAATATTGTTATTTTTGTGGTTGATTTACGTTTTGCTGTCTAATATTTTGTATCCTCCAAACATTAAGATTTCATCAATGCACATAAATGATTTCAAACAATTATTTTCAGAAATGAGACCAATCCAATGTAGTATTTAAACAATTGTGAAATAATTTCTCAATTATATCTAATTTGTAAGTAAATTGAATATGTTGAGCATTTGTTGGAGGATACAAAACATTACCATTATAAAACATATGAACATATATGAAATTTTTCAATGAGTATGAAATATCAAACAACCAATTTTGAAATCTGGTCGGAAACATATTTTATCGACCAGTTAGAAATTATAAACGGACTTGATGCAAAGGATAGGTATTGATATGGTGAACTGAATTCAACAATGTTTTTCTCTTAAACCAATTATTTAAAACATTCTATAAAAACACGATCCTTTATGTAATGTTAACTGATTGGCAACAATTTAATGCGAAAAGTATTTATATATATTTTATATAATTTTGTTAACATCTTTTAGTGCAATTGTTTTTTGTTCCTTTCTGCCAATTCTTTAGAATGAAATAAAATGTCTCTCTGAACCTTGTTGGAACAAAATAGCAACATCATATATATCAAATATACAACATCTTCTCAGACCTCTCAATATTATAGTTATACAAAGGAAATTTTGGCTGATTTAACAAAACGTATGCAAAAAATTAAAACAACCCCCCCCCCCAATGAGTTAAAAATTAAGATAAACCTTTTATTTCATTAACAAGATACTTTTTTTAAATCAACCAAACTTTCATTTGTACAATTACAATATTGAGAGACCTAAACACGTTGTGTTTATGTCGTTTTGTTCCAATGAGGTTCGGGTAGATGTTTCATCTCATTAGGAACATATTATGGTACCAAGAACAAAATATATATTTCAAATTATAATGTCACCATCCAAAAGATGACCATTAAATTGACGTTGTGTAAATTTTTCAGAATTTTTTGATGACCGGTTTAAGAGAAATGTGTGTTCAAAAAGTTCACCATATGGATACCACTCCTTTGTTATGTTGTCCGAGTTTCCATAGCAAACTTTTTGTCTAAAGAATCACCATTAAAGTTGTTTTCAAGAAATGATAAGCAATATTTTCAATATAATTTGCATGGTCATGGTAAACAGTTGTGTTGACATCACGATAAGACACATACAATGTCGTTGATATCAATACACATGGGCTTGGTAGAATAGCAGAATTCATGGAATTTAAAAAATATCAATTATCGTAAACTTGCCCCTATATGGTGTCCAAAACGTAGGACCGAAGAAAAAGTTGATAAATCTTGTATATTTTGCCTTAAATTCCAGAATTATTTACTTCATTCAATATGAAACATCATTATTCAAAGACTGCATAAAGAAATCTTAAAATATTCAAAATATTCGTTAGCAAGTTAATGACGTAGATGCGAGTAAGTAGTTACCAGTTTCACCACCAGGTGGCTCGTTCGGGTCAGATAGCATGGCGGGTATAGTAGAAAGTTCCCTTTAACTTCAATCACACCAGGTCCTGTTTTAGTGGTTCAACTTTCATATAACCCTTATGTATCTAATAGTTATGCAAATAAAAATATGCCAAGTAAAAGAAAATGTTATCTGTCCAATAAAAGAAAAGATATTTCACTTTTTGTGATTTTGTAACATTGGGTCTATGAGGAATCAACCCGAACTAGAAGTCACATTTTCAAAAAAATTAAATTCTCAAAGTTGAAAAACAATTTTCGAAACTACATTTCTAGACGTACTTTAACATGTAGATTTCAAATAAGACATCACTTTGACTGAATTTTGAACATTTAATGATGTAAATTAAGATTATTTCTACTCGCATCTAGTCTATTGCTTTCACCCTTTATATAGCAGAATGCCTCGGGTCTATTTTGAATATAACTGGATCGGAGGTGACTAGGGTCCGAGTTGACCAGATATGGTTTTAATATACCTTTGATTTTCTACTCCAACAAGTTTTGCGATTTTCACAAATATAAGTAACGATAGTTTTGCATAAACGACGTGAATCTTGTTTGTTTCATCGAATGGAGAAATTCCAGGTGTAACCATGAAGACTTGAAAGTTATTAATTAGAAAACTATTTTGGTGTGTCACTACTCAGCTTTTAACCAAGTTCCAGGGTGTCCTTTAAAAATGCCAAACATATCCCGAACATTTATGATGGAGCATACACAGCTAAAACAACTTCAAATGAAAAAGTTGAATTAAATGTTAAAATCAATTAACAACTATAGACTGAAACATTTATTTAATCTTGCAGAGCCCTGTAAGAACAAGGAGGCATACGAAGGTTCAGACATATGCGATGATATAGATGTTGCTTACTGCACGATGGAAGAGACTAGAAAACTATACAAACACATTTGTCCCGCGTCGTGTGGATTCTGCGGTAAGTTAGGGCTAGGAAGAAATATTCTTGTTTCTTGTCATCATGTTCTCGTCGAATATTCTTCAAAATCAAACACATACGAAGGGGCCAATTAATTTTTGAGCTGATTAACCTTACTTTAGAATTTACTCTTCATACGTTTAAAGATTATTACATTGTACTTAGCTTAGCTTGCTATTTTTGGTTCTTTCTATTTGGATAAAAAAATTATCTGATTAGAAAAAACAAATGCCCAGAATCTATGGAAAATACTTCCCTGGGGCAGCTTTATTCAAAGTTTAAGTAAAAACGGTTATACGAAAGGTAAAACATCTTTAAAATATAAATGTTTCAGTTATTATTTAGAATTGAATTAAGGAAAAGCATTAGCCGGTTGATTGTAAAGCAGAAAACTATTATTATTTATTATATTATATCATATTATATTATATTGCAAAGTATGTAAAACGTTTCCTATATTTCTACCATTGTATAATGTTTAACTATTTGCACGTACGGTATTTGAAATGGTGACACACGATCGCCTTATGGCGTCCCTACGGCAGCTAGGTTTTGAAAAATATCAAGGTAGCCGCAAGACGTCATATGGCGTAGATATTTATGGCCGCAGTGTTTCTCGATTTCGGGGAACTACGGCCGCCACACCGTACACTCGTTATAAAGCAAATGTGATGTTAGCCTACTTGAAATTGCCTTGATTGTAGTTACAATTTCTTTTTTATTGTTTTATCTGTTTTCAATATATGTAAGATCAAGTTGCACAAACCAAATGTATTAAACACAAAAAGGATAAATAATCTGAAGGAATTTAAAATATATTATATTTACAATTCTAATATTTATCTAGGAGAGTATAGAAAATATGAAGTGGTTAATTTCAAAGGAGAAAACTCTCATCAAATAATCATGGTAAATGTGACACATTATATCATACCATATCATAACATAACCTATCGTATATTGTCTTTGAAATTTGGGGGAGAAAAAAGGGAGACTGTTTGACAAATGTTTAAAAGGTTTTTAAAAACAGTTTATATTAAAGGCAGAATCAGATCTATGGGGGTGAAAGAATTACAAGCAATGTGTACAATTGACCTACCAATCTATTCCTTACAATCTCCCAAAAGATCCATGCTATGTTATAAATTGGTGAAGTTAAAATGGATTACAAAGTGCAAAAATGAGTGAAAAATGTTTAAATTCTCCCAAATAATACGAATGTTTATAGAAAAATAATATGTTATTGTAAATACCTTTAGTTTTCCTGAAATAAAGTATGCACTTTGGTGATTTTAAGAAAATAGACATGAAAAGGAATGACATGAGCCAGAAATATTCTAAAATTGAAACAATTTTTTTGTTGTTGGCCTGGTTGCTAGATCTGATGCTCTCTTTAAATACTTAAACGAATGCTTTAGTAATAATTGTTTTATCTTATATTCGACGCACCTCTGCATTGCAAAGCGTGCCACTGTTTCAAAAGGGTAGATCGAAATAAATAAATAAATATTATATATCAGATCATATTATTATTATAAAGAATATATACCATTTCCCATATTTTAATAATTATATTCCATATAACATTTTTAAATTATTAATTACGAATCTAACTAATATTTTCCCGAGACATGTACTGTTAATTGGTTCATTAATCTACAATAAATTTGTCAAGATATAATATACATAATGCAAAGAACAGATTTTACTTTGTATATAATATAATATATAATATAATATACGATATGATATTTTGCATAACGATGGTATTTAAATAATAATTGTTAATTTATAAATACATACATTTGTTTTGAATATCGCAATATACGCTTTGCGTCAAATTGTATATGATTATATGTATGTAACATGTTAAAATTGGAATAAACTTAAACTTAAACCTAAACTTATATGATATAATGTAATATGATATAATATAATATGAAATAATATACATAACATATACATAAATTTGTTTATAATATCGTAATATCTTTATTATAAAACTCTATACTTCCATACATGTGATCATTAAAAAATAATATGTTAAACATAAAATGTCTCATATGAATTTAAATATTAACGAATAATTGTTGAAATAATATAACATGGAATTACATAATATGTTGAACTCAACTGGAAATAAAAGTCAAAGTAAATGCTGTATTGTATTTAATGGCTGAGCTTTGTCAATTTAATAACAAAATTAATGCAGTTGACTTACTTTTTACCCTCATCAGCTAAACTAAATTTATATTGTTTTGAATATAATATCGAGAGACTATGGTATGTTTAAGTCATTTAATAGTTATATTTAAGTCCGTGCCCTTCCTGCTAAAAGTGAAATTTATTATAAAAAATCAAATGTATATACATCAAACTATTATAATTAATTATTATTAGTATATTATAATATTATTATTGCTTATTAATTATAATTATAGTTTATTATAGCTTATATTTATCCAAAGCACTGAAACAACCCCTCCACATCCCCTCCTCCACCCTGTTTTTAGCCCCATATTATATAATATGACATAATAGTGTTTTTGTTTTTGACTATATACATTTATGTTGTAAAATATATGTATACATGTAATTTATTATTTGTGAAAATTAATTAAAGCAAATTGAGCCACCAGCCACATTGTTACATGTTGTTCTTTCTAATTAAGGGTAACGTTATAGTTTCACATCGTCATATAAATATTAGATGTGAAGCACACAGATTTATTGTGGGCCGAGGCTAAATAATTTCTGTTTAGAATCTAGCCATGAACAATGGCGTAAAACTGACTTGATTTTTAAGGTGTGTCTAGGTCAATGTAGAGATGGTGTCTCCCGTAAGATTCTAGAATGATAATTCTTTATAAAAGGGAATTATAATTTTTCAAACGTTTCAACGCGCTTATATAATCAAATAAATAGAGGAATAAAAAAGGCAAATAATAAAATAATGACTGGATGAATTCCATATTCATTTTCCTAACTTTGTTCTTACATTTTGGCAATTGGACTAAATATATTTGGAAAAAACTCCTATCCTGTTTATTATTGCAAATAAATATTTGCACACTATTTTAACCATTTCGTACCAACAACGAACAGATAATCATATTAGTGTCTTTGAAATATATAGACAAATTGATGTCCAAGACGACAACATATATAACATGAACTATGAATTAAAATGAACAAAATATATATATGACGTGCAAGGACCTGGGGACAATTCGGGAAATGCGGGCTGATCTCAGCATTGAGCGTTAATCTCTGCCTCATTTAAAAAGCTAACTATGTGTTTTATATACCTTTTTGAAGTATTTTTTATTTGCATTTCAGTGAAATTATTTTTCCTTCAAAATTTTGATGGGATCCTACATATTTTTAAAGTTAAATATACCCCGACATCGTCAATTACGCTGTAAGACGTAACACTTTGCGCTTACGGGGCTCGTTGAAATTGGGATAGCTTTTGAAATAATGATCAAAATCGCACTAAAATTTCACATTTTATTCAATCGAACATGTGCATTTATGACGTCACAATTGCTTGACGGCTACAGTTCAAATTATCTTAAAACGAACGCTTTTAAAAATCTAAAAATTGTGTGAGGTTTTGAAGGCGAATGGGACGAGCAATAAGTTTACCTTCATTTAACCTTCTAATTTAGGTCTGATTTGAAAGAAAAATTAACTGCACAATATTGTCATGGCGAAATTTACAAAACAATAACCAGTTTGTCTATTTTGCAAATAATATTAAAATAAGAGCTGGTTTTCGAGACTTGAAAAAATGTGACGCATCGATTTTGTACCACAAATTCCATACATATCAATATTTACTAACGCCCCAAATGGATTTCTTGACCGTTTTTCAAAATTCAAAAACATTTTAGAAATATTGTCCTCGAGATCTTGCTACCCTGTGAATTTTGTAAAGATTAGATAACGATAAAGTATTTTATTTTTAGGTTGAGTAAACTTGTAAAAAATGTGACGCTTGTCGTTTTTGACGTTGTAATGCTGTTTGCGCCCTATACTGCTCATTGTTTTGTTTTGGTTTTTTGACGCCATAATGTTACGCTAATTGTCCCCAGTTTCGTGCGACGTGTAATAAATATTTTTATTTTTCAGTTCCCTTCTCAGCTCCCTGAAGATCACCGAGGAAAAATATCCAGTTTAAAATAGGAGCTGATTGTGTATAGATGACGGTCCTTAGGTGCGATGAAAGTGAACGTTTGATAGTGCTCTCGTACTCGTTTTATGAGGCAATTACAATTTATGAAGTTAATGCGGGGACTTCGTGCTGTTTCTTCGTTATTCAGACATTGTTTATGACAATTCAGGCAATCTTCATATATCACAAGGGAAGATGAATAATGTGTGAAAATACAAAAAATGTATAAAACTATAGTTTTAAAATTTAGGATGAATATCTTAACGTTATGAGGGTTCAGGGTTTAAATAAGAGACATAACAGGTTTTCACAAAACAGAAAAGTTAGGTATGTACATGTAGATTGGATATACCAAAAAGGAAGTATATTACCATGTAAAGGTCCCTCCGTGGGATACAAATTGCATACATTTGCTGAAATAAATAATATGAAGGCTAGCACTATATAGTTTCTTACAGATATTGTTAATCATTGGGTAGACCTTGTCATGTAAGTGACTGCATGTTTATGCTGTTGAGTGTGTGGAATGGCGGAGGAATTCTTAGCAGATTTTTGATTGACAGGTCAAAATAGTGCCAGATTTTAAACGGTCTCAAAAGTGAATCGAGTTTCATGTAGCTCCAAGACACATTCACGAAAAAAGTCAAATCTTAACAGTTTGCTTTCTCTTCCTTTTTAAGTTTATGGTATCCCTACAGCGTTAGAACACAAAATAGATTGGTCAAAGGTTCACTTTTAAGAAGTCCAGGTCATATTGAACATCTCTTATTGAACATGTAAAGTCAATTGGAGGCCATTCACATGTTTTCTACCAGAAAAACAA